TTTATTTTGTGTATTTTCACATTCTGTATATTTATCACTAATCACTTGTACTTCTTGTTGAAGTGTATGACCTTGAACACTTGTTAACTGAGTTCCTTCCGTTTTGAATTCAACATATCGCTACATTGTGACTGCTCCTCAATAAATACACTTTAATACACACCTGCCGCGTTTTATTATGCCTGTGGATGTCATAAATGAATTATTAATTAACTATCATATGTATTTATAGACTATTGAGACATTCGCATTACATTCTACGTTGGCGAACTTACTGGATCCATATCTATCTCATTGGAATTATTAATTGTCTATAATTGTGGATCTTTGAGACCAAGCACAACGGAACACGCAACAGCCAGTCAATTTAAGTAACGTCCTTAAACTTTTATTTGTGTTAATAACTTATAAGTTGTTTATTGTTAAATAAACTTTTGGACGTAATAACTTTGTTGCTATTTTTGGTTAATATACTTTTTGGTCCGTCACAATTATTTGGTGAGCCTATTATTTGGTTACCTCGTGTTTATTTTATCGTTGTATTGTTTATTTGCTTACTATACGACACACTAGTTCATTTTTAATTAAATATGCTCCCCACCTAAGCTCATTGATATGGACCCCTCTCCAGTAACAACCCTTATTTCATCATCAAACACTGCTGACAAAATTTTTGGTTCAGTCAACACTATCTCTGAACTTAGACTTCCAGCATACGGAGCAAATGTTTAGGCCTCGATAATCTCCACATGGACGGCAGTCTTGGTCTTTCTTTGGAACCATATGCAGTGGCGAGGCCCAAGGACTATTAGATTGTCGAATCATCCCAAGTTGCATAATATGCTGTAATTCTCTCTTAGCTAACTGCAACTTATTCGGTGGTAGTCTCCTCGCCCTGGTGCAGATGGATGAACCTGTAGTAGTGATACTGTGCTGAACATGATGTGTGGAACGTTCACTTTTATAATCAACTTTTTTTATACACTCATATTCCGATAGGATATCGGTGAAAGTTTTATTATCAAGTCTAATCATTCGGACACCATGAATTTCATAATTGGAGGTTCTTGTTCCGTTGACCTGTAAACTTGTATTCTTGTCAATCAGTTTCTTTTTTCCCATATCAACAAGAAGATTATAAACACCTGGAAAATCGGCTCCTATAATGCGTCGTTTAACTTCAGCAACGATGAAAACCCATGTGAATCGTCTACGGAGACTGAGATCTAAGATGAGCGATTGTTCGCTGTAAGTCTTAATGATAGAATCGTTGGCTGCAACTAGAGATAATTTAGTGTTCTGGGAGTGCCGTCGTCGAGAAAGGTGAAGCGGGAGAATGCTTATTTCGGCTCCTGTATCGACTAAGAAGTCTGAACCCGAAATTCGATCCCTGACATGAAACGCACAGCTGGGGTTGTAGCCAGAAACAGGCGCCGCCATTACTGTCTGGCCGGGCCGTTTCCCTAGTTCTCGATGTTAGCTGGGGAGAATGTGCACGGACGTGTGCAACGGCGTGCTTTGGTGCCGTATTTTCTATGATACCAACAAACTTCAAATGTTTGTTTCGGCGAACGAGAACGTTGTCTGGAAAGAGATCTCCATCTAGAAGGGGATCTTAATTGTCTGGCTTGAAGCGTTGTTACAGTAGTCTGTAGTGATGCGAGTTGATTCGTAAGTTGTGATAATTGTCTTCGGATAGAGGCTAAGTAACTGACATCAACTGTTCCGTATGTTTGCATCGAGTTTATGTAGTGGCTATCGTGACAAACTTCCATGACTTTATCTGTCATGTCAGCTAAGTCATCAAGAGGGACAGACTTCCATTCATAACTTGTTCACACTTATTTTTCTTTAACACATTAGTATGCGCTTACCTAATAAGTACTTGAGTAACAGACAAATAGACTTAATGGTTATACCTTAACCATTCCTCCGTGAATATTGTGTGCTCTGCTTTTCGTCCTTACCTTTTCTTACACATTTTTCAGCCCCCTGAAGATACCCCACCAAACAGGGATATGCCACGGGTGACTTCGTCCCACAGCATTATTAAAGCCTCAGATATTCCGGAGAGATATAAGGTCGAAACTTCTATTCTCGACCATTAGCTGTACGTTGCAACGCTACCTTCATAAAGTACATAAAGTGTGATATTGACATATTTTTTACGAAATCCATTTACATTCATATTTTATAAAATATCAACCCAGCTGAGTAATTTTCTACAGTGAAAATTGTAACTTCTTCAACCATTTGATCTTGCCTGTAAACCGGCATGCCTCATGCAACAAACTGTTATTTGAGAATAAAATATTATTACTATTATTATTATATTTTTGTGTTTTTGCGGATGTTTTCGAAATGTTTACTACTTTGATGTTTATATGGTTGACTGCTCATCTAAATAAAGTGTCTGTTTTTAGTGTGTTGACTTCTTTAGGTGCAGAATATCACTTCAGTCCTGAATGCCTTCGTATTTATCCTTCCCAAGTTATCAGTCTATGCGTAAGGCTCCTCTGTTCGAAAGTATTCTTATTTACCGTCAGTGAATATTATGAAGAGGAGAAGATCCGAGAAATTCCATAGAGTAAATTTTCCAGATTAGTCGGACATGCAATTTCATTTATAACCTCAGTGATATTATGTTATGTTTTCTACTTCACTACAGATAACAAAGCATACAACGTCAGCATTCGAACATTAGAGACATTCCGAAATTTTGTTAATCCACTGAAGAAAAAAGGTGCTTAGTAGTGATTAAGCCTGGATATTCTAGAGAAACAATTTATGGATATTTAATCTGTCATTGACAGGCCAGAGAAAACTCAATGGGGAAGTTTGGATTCGACCTTCATGATTGTTGAAAGTGATGTTTCAAATACCAGTTCTTGAAAATGCTAGTTACATGTTCGACCGAAACCCAGTTTTTAACAACAACTACATTTCTATGTCCTGTTTTGAAATCAAGCAATCACCCAGTCAGAATATTTCGTTCATAAAGATTAGGATAATTGAACACGAGCTAAAATAAAATAAATTGAGGCATAAAAACAGGCTATCTAGGGGAGAAGCATCTGAAATAGAAGTTGTATTGATATTTGTTTGTATTGTTCGACTGGCATGCAACTGACAGAGTCCATTGGAATTCATTATCTTGGTGCTCACATATATTGACTTTAAGGTTACTTATTACTGAGAACGGCTTACCACAGAAGGAAATTACGATCTAACAGATGTAAAGGTGAGAAATCTTTCATCATTGTTCTGAAAAAAAATCACAGAAGATTGGTCTCAAGGAAGCACATTTAAATTTGCTCATAATTCGAAAGGGAAAAATGAATTTGAAATACCCCCGAAAATACTGTATCCAGCTATGAATCTAGCTGTTCGTAGGCTATCGGTTATCGGCACACTGCAAATTTACGCCGTTTTGTTTATTTGCCTATCAGAATTGTTGTTAATAATGGCTATATTCAATGCCTTAAATTCCAGTACAGTAGGAAATTCTCAAAGCCTATCGAGCTATTGCTACGGACAGTCAGTCACTTTTGTTATTATTATCCAAACTAAATATGTATTTAATTCCAAAGATTCAGAACGCATAAGAATAACGTGGAAAAATTTCTTTCGGTGTCTCGATAGCTTTCAGTTTTTTGATTCCGTGGATTATTAGACCCCATAATACCATATGCAGCAACGAACGCAGGCCAAGACAGATGACACAGCAACAGTCTCCGGGATAGTAGGCCTCAACATTTCCAAGGTCAAGTATAAAATTGGACAGCAGCCAACTAACTCGTAATTAAGAAGTTCTCAAGAGGTAGGAGCCTTCACATACATAAATATTACTTCCGATAAACGAGGGGTATCGGATGGGGTTATCAAGGCTTGAAGTAGCGAAGCGAGGGCAGTATCGTTACAATTCAAGAACATATGGAGTTCTTATGAGTTGTCAGCCAACGCCAAAGTCATAATATACAAGACTAGCGTTTGAACATTTTTACTGTACTGAGCCAAAGCTTGAAGAACTACTACGGTCATCAATAAAATGACACAGTTATTTAAGAACAGCCGTCTATGCAGCATACTCTATATTTGTCAATCGGACACCAACAGCCATAGTCTAATATGGCCGAAAATGGTCCAGATTCTAGCCACAGAAAAAATTAGTAAAAATTGCTGGAGGTGGGTGTTACACAGAATACGGGAGTCACATAACTGTGTCACAGTTTATTATGTTGGAAATCGGAGGCTGACATCAAAAGAGTGGATAGCGCTGAGCAAAAACTGGAAAGAGGAGCCCAGGGCATTGTAGGTTGGCGACTTCTGATCGATGACCTACGTTCCGCAAGGGATAGTAGGCATAGTTAGGTTAGTACCAAGGTTGTGATTAGTGTGGATATGGATTCTACGTCCATGATATTTGTAAGGATCTTTTGATAGTGAGTAGACTTACTCAATGCGAGTGATCATTAGTTTCATAATATCTTTCGTATCGTTTATCAGCAGAACACTAATTCTTGGATAAGTACTGTATTTTATATTACCTGTCATGATCACATGTCGATTTTCACCGTATTCTGAAAGTGGTATAAGCACCAATGGAAGCCGCGTTTCCTGAAAGCAGCTTGACTTAAATCAAGATCGTTTTCAACCTTTACGCTCAAGTTTAAAAATGACAAGGATTTTCTAGGTTTGACAACGTTTTGGTTCAAAACATCTTAATGACCAAACTACCACAGAACCAGTTAAACTAGGAGTCAAGAAAGAAAAAGTTCAAAGATAAATATGTAAGGGAGTTGGTACATCAAGGAGTGTGTGATCTACGCTGGCTATATGTTGAGAGGACGGAGTAGCACGATGTACCCAATAATGATATGGCATAGATGTGTGACCAGGCGTTTTCAGCTAGGGTGTATCCAGTAAAACTAATAAGGTCTGCATCAATGTCGAAGACTTACGGAACTATTGATATGGTGATTCATTTAGTGCTACAGACTTTTTGATATGATTTCAATCACATCTGGTACTCTCCTTCTGAAGGTGTGTTTCTTAGAATATGAAATTTCGCCCTACAGCGAAACAGTAGATTAAAAACCTTTGCTGGACTACAGAAGTTAGGGAATTCCTCATTTTATTGCATTACTTCTTAAACTTGTTACGGTTTCTTTTAAACCCAGAAGAAACAGATAGATAAAACAAATTAATTGCTAACCTCAACAAATGATGAAAAAACATACAATAAGAATTGCGAATCATCATTTTTTTACTTGTTTTTGTTTTCTTAATTTCAGCCAATTTTGGCGGCGATTCGTAGGCAGTTTTTTTAGCGCATTCTAATCTGCAACAGTAACGTGTTCTGGGTGTTTCAGGATGTCGTTGAATGACTTTTTTGCTAAACAAAATAAGAAAAAGTCTAAGAAAAAACAAAACCCAACGGAACTAATGGACTTGCTCACAAAAGGGGGTGAAGTACTCAAATCCTACCCAGAATCTAATGCTCCACAAGAGAACAAGGCTATTAGTTCTGAGGTGAGTTGGTACCTTATCTACTGTATGGATTATAAATTAGAAAGATGACGAGTGGGAAATTATAGACGACGAAAAAGAAATAGATCTTCAGAACATTCGGGTGTACAATCTGTCCTCAACCATAACTGACGATTCTGCTAAAAATTTGTCTAAAACCAAAGATTCTCGTGAAGGTGATGGTGAATCTGTGGTGGAGAAAAAGGCTTGGGGTGCAAAGCCAGTCGAAGCTCGTAAGTTTTTACTGGGTGCTTATTTTGATTATTCTTACTTCGACACGTCACACTAATTAGGCTTATCTCTATCCACTTACTTTGGAATGAGGTTAATAGCTGCCAAAGTGAGCTTAGGTTAGGTTTTGATCCCGACCACCAATCTGATAAAGCTGCTCCTACAACAGTGAACTATCAGTGAGTTTTAAGCCTGTTTTTGACCTCACTCAATATCTTGCGCTGACACATATCCTTGACAAATATAGTAGCGGTTATCGTTTTTAATGTGAAACTGTAATCTTTTGCGAATAAACATCTTAGCTCCTGGCGTGTAAATAGCGATGCCCGTCAAGTGTTGGTCATCTTCAACGTTCACATCCACATCCTTTGCTAGAGTACGCATGTGGTACCAACAGATAAGTCTAGGCCAGGAAGAGTATTCCACAGGCTTTAACCGCAATAACCAATCGTAGAGCGAGATTAGTGTGCTAGGTAATTTTATTGACATAATGTAGACAGTAAGGTTAGTTTTTGTGAACCATAATGTCCTCGTTTAGCTCGGTTGTATTTGATGCTATATAATCTAGACTGCTCACTTTTGGTGTATGGTAATTTAGGCATGCTCATCCATACCATGTTTTATATTATGTATGGCGTTTCCACTTCCTTGTAGTTTCGTATCGTAGTTGTTATTTTACCTACGTATGTTAGATGTTCAGTCTAGAACAAGGTCTTACCAAATTACGTTATCGCACCCTGTTTTTATAATAAGGCCAGAGAGGTGTATTCAGATGTTTAGACGATAGTTTTCAATGAAAACTGCGTAGTTCTCAATTTATTTTCTCAAATAACCTTACACTCTGGTTTCAAGTAGCTAAAGCTACATTTGGTCTTGATATTCTAATTGGTACTCTAGTCTTTTAACTTGAATCAAAATTAGCATGTAATTCGGATCTTTAATAAAACTATATCATTTAGACCTAAAGCACAACTTGGTTCCGTCATTTTCTCACATAGTATATCGTTTCTGATTTTTTGTCTTCAGGTGAATGAACGTTATTATAGTTCTTTTTACATAGAGTGGTTACCTTCGTAACCATTCGTGTAAGTGTCTCTCAAGTCCTTTGAATATCAGTTGCTTGTCAAGTTATTGGTTGTTTTGATACTTTCCACCCGTGCTCTTTTTCTCAATTGACATTTTGTTCTCTACCAAACATTCGTATTTGTAGCCGAACCCGTAGAAGCAGTTGTACAACCACCACCTAAACCTAACGTCTACATTCCTGCTCCATTGAGACCAGGAGGCAGTGGTTGTGGTCCTGTAGCCCCAAAGCCAAATGTAACCAGTTCAATGGATTTTCCTACCTTAGATGCATCTGTAAATGAACCTCAGAAGAAGGAAACTGAACCAAATAATGATAATGATGATAAGAACGTACCTTGGCAACAGGCAGGTGTGCGTCGTGCTAATCCAGTATCTAGTGCATTACCAATAGCCATCAGTACCGCAACGTCCGCATATGTCCCACCGAGTTTGCGACAGACAGGGGCTCCAGGTTTCAAAAGTGTGGGTCCAGGTTATACAGGAGATGGCTTCCGGCCTCATAACGACCCACCTTTTTGTTCAGATATAGATCCAGGATTTAAAAGATTTACTGAAAACCCAGGACTTCGTGAAACCGCTTCTTCAGCTGGCGGTTGGGCTAGAGGAAATATTATCAGTGTCAATCCCACTAACAATCCTGCTGGACATCTGCCGCCGAATTCCTCAGATACAAGTTTCCACACAGTTTCAGAAAACACAAATGGATGGTCTAGAAATGTAAATGTGAAGACTTACAAGTAAGTTATATTTATAACCCTGTGGGCATTTATCCTTCGTTATTTTAAACTCATTTACGTCATAGAAACTAGTGATTTCCTCCAAAACATTCTCCACCTTTAAGATCTTAACCAGTTTTCATTAGATATAGATAGAATCAAATGAAAAAAATCAATTTGAATCTCCAAATTGGATTCAGTCATTGATGTATATATTTAAGTATTACATTCAATTTTTGCAGTGAGTTATTCACAACTTACCACTAAATTGGCTTTCGAAATGCCAAAACTCATTCATGGACTAGATGCTTTTGTTATTGTTGTCCATCAGGACCTAGACTATCTTGCGATCAGCCTTCTCAGCTCTGAGTTCAGTTGTTCTCTGCTGACATATCTTGTAGCCGTTTATTGGTACTACGCCAATTGTATTAGTTCCATTGTCATATTAGTGCTGTAACTATAAAACCATATGGACTGTTTATGTATAGCTGGATATATTTTTAAATTATTGTCCTTTGGTAATTCATAGTCCAAGCAACCTGGTAATTATTCTCGAGTAGACAATAAACTATTCTCGATGCACTAAAAACTGGATGTTTTCATTTCTTTTTCAGAGATGTACGCGAGACGCCTGGGCTAGAAATCGACTTAAAAAACCGATTCACAGCATTTAGTGAAACCTGAGACTAACTATCAAATCAGTTTTCATCAGTTTATCTATTAATTTCCATCTTACGAAAGTAATGATTAATGCCTAGTATCTCTGGAAAGTGATATTTTGAACAATTTCGAAGAACAGCAATGGGAGATTAGTGGTTGACTGTACATTAATTTTTGATAAGTTTCTATTTCTAATGGAAAGTATCACGTGCTTATTTTCCTCCTATTATAACAGGTAGCCTTGATGAATTATCTTTGATAGATGTGGTTGACTTTCACTTAACAGAACTGATTTCCAATGTGTGGTGAAAGTCTTTTGATTATCACAATGTTTTGAAAGCAACATCTTTTGGTTGTTCTATCGTTTTAATGCTCTGAGATTTTGAGACTCGTTATTTTTTTCGATGAGGCGTTTGTTTAACTTAACATTTTACTATTTTTCTTATGAAGTTCACGAGATTAGTGCATGTTATTCTAAAAACTACTTTTGTTCTCAGATATGCTGGATTTTTGTAAAACCTCGTTTTCGTTGTTTTGGATCCTGGTAATTCGGTTGAGAGTATTCAGCACTTACTTCTGTTTTACATTACAGTTAATCGATTACAGTCGGGTACTGCATACTTATTACATAGTTGCTCAGAAATGTCATACCATTACACAAGTGTTGCTGACAAGTTACAGAGAACACTCATAGTTTAGATATGGAATAAACATAATTAAGTTTCTGCACTGATGTTACACTTTTTTTTATCTTGCATTGTGCAGCAGCTGAGCTTTAGTGGGAGCGTTTTGTTGGTTCCAAACATTCCAAGAGTCACATTGTTTCATTTATTCATACCGTAATTGAGTACTTTCTGATCAGTTTTGGTCACTCGGGAAAAGTTAATTAAAGAGAGTCTTAAGACTTAGTAATTACTGCCAAGAGACGAAGTTTTATTGTAATCATCCTTCCCTATGTTGCTTCATTTTGTTTATGAAGTGGAGTTAAAAGAAGTAGATCTCAGAAACTGTACGTTACCCCTCTCAGAAACAGATTAAACTTTCCTGTTACTATTATTCACAAGAAGATCAGTTTTAATTAGTCTCAAATGGTCCGTACGGTCGCACCATGATAATTAATGTTTTTTTTCACAGAGGATTGAAGAAAATTCGTTAATGATCACTGATTCTTCAGCTAACTGATACCTGACTGTTAAGCCTCATGGGTTTCGTATCATTTACATACGGTTTTTATGCCAACCCCTATCCGATACAGTGTTTCGGTTGGTTGTAACAATTAAATAAATCTAAACTAATCATTTCCACTTGATATCTGAAAACAACGGAGAAAATTTCCGGCAGAAACTTTGCCAACTGATTGCGTATATTTATATTAGAAACTTAATGAAACTATTAATGTACCAATATCTAACTGAAACGAAATCACTTGTAAGCTGATGAGTGAATATATCTCACTTACTTCACTCGTCCGAATCTGTATTAAGTACCAGCGTTTTACGGTTTAGTAGGTACAAAGATTATATGAGGCGAAACAGTAGAAGACTCACATAACTGGTCCCTAGTTAACATTCAGATGTATTCTAATGGATTGTATCGTACTAACTTGGATTAATTGAAAGTATAACACTTTGTAAGTCCTACACATATTGGTTGACTGCAGTTTGCTGGCGTCGAATATCGTCGGGATCTAGTTTTTTCTCTGGATAACTTGGGTTTTCAATGTCTAGGGAATTCATTTAATCATTCATCTTACGTAATTTCAGTAGGACATTTATTTTTGAAACAACGCTTGACAAACTTATGCTGCATTAAGCAAATTTTATACAGTATCATTCTCCCGATGTTAACTTGAATTGTACCAGATGCGTCTCTGTGTAGCGCTTCAGGAAATCTATACGAAAATGTAAATCTTAAGATAATAAGGAAGTAGGACAAAATTTATAATTCCTAAAAATGAGATAATTTTCTGTAGTGTACAATGCTAAAAATTATCGCCTGTGTTTAATACGAGAAAATGATATGTGGTAGTGAAAGTAAAATATGATTAGTCACTGATCGTGGACAAACAGGAACTTAGCCTACTGATTATTAAAGATGTGATTTTCTTTTGTATAATGTGTTTCCACTCCAACTCCCAAAGAGCGCCTTGTGATTGTGTTGAAAAGTATTATCTAGTCGGACTCTGGTTCTTCATTTTGGATCTGATATAGTGTGGCGAATCTCATCGTATTGACGTATTACTGAAGTATACATGGAAGGGGAATATTTCAACCCATTCGTTATATCAAAAGTTAGGCCTCCAAATGCCCTGGTACGGCCGAGAGTGGGGAGAGTCTGCTCTCCCTCTCGAAATGCTCTCACATGGCCACGCGTATATAGCCTCTGCCAGGGAAGCCCTACTCATTGCATTCTCGTGGCATCACTGTTGTTTACGAAATCGAGAGAACGAAAAGCGAATATCCGGCACTCTAACCGGGTTGGTGGACACGGTGCGTCCACCTAGGGGAGTTGGAAAACCCTGATTCTGTACCAATGGTGCACATGGGCTGGCTCCAGTATCTTGAGGGAACAAATGGCGTATGAATCAACCGTTGGTCACCGGCTACCAAGGGACTGCATCTCCTCACGATGCTCCACTGCCTTGTGGATCAGATCCTTATGTCAAAGGCTCTGGGTGTGGCCCCCTAAGAAAACCACCTGCTTCAGTTTGGGCAGTATCACAGTCCTCACACAAATCGAATGAGATTTGTGCGGCGCATGTATATCTGGTGCTTCCTTGTACAAATATTTATGTGTTTAAATAAATAATAATCAAAAGTTAGTTGATTTCGTCAAGTGATTTATTTTTGGGTTAGATGGAGCACTTCTGACGATTTAGGATGTGGTTGAAACAAATAACCGTCCGGTTTCCAAGTGCTGCCCCCGGTTAGTTATGTCGCCAATGTACTATTGGTCGTGCTATGAAAATACAGAATAGGTAGTCAGCTTAACATGATATTTTGCAAGAAATGAATATTTTTCATATCTTAATGCTGAGGAACTTTAGTCGTGCCTGTCTACATACGTATATACAAAGAAACATGGGACAATGCCTTTGTATCTCAGCTTGTCTACGATCTTTCAAATCTAGTTTTTTTTCTAAATTTAGTTACTTGTCAACCTGAGGATCACTGTATTTGTTACCAGTCAAATAAATCCAACCAGAAGTATAGGTATTGAAGATATACTGAAAAAAAATCGCTCAATATTGTTAGTTTATACCAACTATCGCTCTTCAATCATTTTAATAACCAACTTATAGTTATTCAAGGTTGAGGGAAAGTCTTCATATGAATGTTAACCAATCGATTGATATTTCTGTTGTACTATATATATATATATATATATATATATATATATATATATATATATATATATATATATTGATTTGTAAGCTTAAATATACGTTGGGTACGTGGTAAACGGAATGGCGATTACAAACCATTACAATTGGAGTAAAAAGTTGTCCACCTTAGTCTTTTCGCATTAAATTGTTAATGTCAACAAAATCAGCAACCAATTACCAAACTAAGAAACGTCCCGCAATTTTATTAAAACACGCTCTATTTGTGTATTTATTTAGGCTGACCGATTTCCGACAGGTTGGTGAAGAGTATTTTCTATGGAATAGTCCAGTCTAAACATCCAACGAACTGGCGATGCGTACTCATGTGAAGAGAAGACAATTTCATCGATTAACACTGATTTCCTTCCTTCCCAGTTCTGTTCTGATGCATCATTGAACCACTGAAGGATGATATGTGGCTGAGTATCTCAGAGGCCTGAATGGAAATGTCTGTATAACTGAAGCCACAAACTCCATATATATATATATATATATATATATATATATATATATATATATATATATATATATATATATATATATATATATATATTCAATTTTCGATTACTCTAAGTAACTACTATTTATTGATCATTTTTACGCACTATTTATACCATTTGCTCTCATGTGACTATCATGTTAAGTTCGAGTAGATCGACGGCTATTACCGTGATTGGTTTGCTTTTACTTCAGCGACTCTATTTTAAAGATGGCATACATGGAGTAATTACTCAATTTGGTGTGCGGCGGACACACATTTCATCTTCATAGTTGTGTGCTAGTATTTTCATTTCACCCAACCTGATTGTAAATTTTCCTTTTAAAGCCGTGTTGTGTTAGTCGCATGAATAATTGTTTCAAAATAACTGCTCTGTTCTCGCAACTGGTGAGGAATGTTTACAGTCTTAAAATGTATATGATTAAAAAAATTTATTTCTTCGTTTACAAATTTGTAAATCCAGTTTTCCTGAACGCTCAGGATCATCAAAGCATCTTTCAAAACAAAGAAGGAGGAAATCGCAATCAATTTTATACAATCACCAATGATCAGTTTTATGAGAGGCCGAAGTCTATCATAGAGAATTGTTCAGGAAAGGACCTCACCATCCTGATGGAAGACCTAAACGCCAAAGTCGGAATGGACAACACCGGATATGAAGACATCATGAGACGACATGGACTAGTTGGTAGTAAGGAAGGAGAACCGTAAGAGATTTGCAAATTTATGTGGATTCAACAAAATGGTTATAGGCGGCACAATATTCCCACACAAACGCATACGCAAAGCTACGTGGGCCTCACAGGTCACTCTACAAACAACCAGATCGATCATATTTGTATTACTGAAAAATTTAGAAGATCAATGGAATATATAAGAACTAAGTGACGAGTTGACATAACTTTTAAAGGTGAGATTAAAGCTAAAACGCACTGGACAGCTGAGGCAACAACATTACAGAGACTCAATACAGCTTTCACTCTAGATACTGACAAACACAGCAAATTCAAGATAACTCTCAACAACAGGTTCCAGGCCTTACAAGATCTACTGAAAGAAAAAGAAACTACAGTGGGAGACAACTGGAAAGGGACAAAGGAAGTACTAACTTCAGCGGGTCAGGAGGTGCTGGGCCGCAAGAAGTATCATCATAAGGAATAGATTTCTATCGAAACCTTGGGAAGGATTCAGGAAAGGAAGAATAAGAAGACTGCAATTGACAAAAATCGAAAAAGAACAGAGAAAGTCAATGCACAAGCTGAATACGCAGAAGCAAACAAGCAAGTGAAGAGGAGCATTAGAGCTGACAAATGGAAATACATGGATTAGCTAGCAACGACGACGGAAAAAGCCTCCAGAGAAGGAAATGTGAAACAACTATATGATACATCGAAGAAACTAGCTGAGAAATATAGTAAACGCGAGAGACCGGTCAAAGACAAGGAAGTCAATCACTGAGATTCAATAACAGAGGAACAGATGATTAGGATACTTCGAGGAACTATTGAATAGACCAGCTCCGCTGAACCCACTGGACATCGAAGCAACACAAACAAACCTACCTATAGCTGTCACTCCAACAACAATCGAAGGAGTCAAAATGGCCATCAGACAAATCAAGAGTGGGAATGCAGCAAGACCTGACAATATACCAGCTGAAGCACTGAAGTTAAACATAAAAGCAACTGCAAGAAGAGTGTTGCTGAGCCGGATGAAAGATTCAACGCATACACAGCTTAGAGATCAACAGGTCGGATTCCGTAAAAATCAATGGTGCACAGACCAAATCGCGACACTGGATCATTGCTGAACAATCAGTTGAATGCAACTCGTCACTATACATCGATTTTTTTGGCTATGAGGTGTTTGACAGCTTGGATAGGAGAACCTTATGAGACATCCTTCGATACTAAGATTAACCCCCACATACAATAGACAGCTTGAATGCAGCTAGACTATTTGGACTCTGCAAACGACTTGGCTCTTTTATTCCATACACACCAACAAATGCAGGTCAAGACAACCAGTGTAGCAGTAGCCTCTGTATCAGTAGGCATCAACAAGGGAAAAAGTAAGATCCCCAAAATACAACACAGAGAACACCAACCCAATCACCCTTGATGTTGAAACCATAGGAGAGGTAGAATCTTTCACGTATTCGGTCAGCTTCATCGATGAAGTTGGAGGATCCGATGCAGACATAAAGGCAAGGATTGACAAAGCAAAGTTAGCATTCCCACAGTTGAAGAACGTATGGAGCTCAAAACAATTGTCGAACATCACAGTCACAATCTTCAGTACGAACGTCAAGACAGTTCTACTGTTTCGAGCTGAAATTTGAGAACAACCACAACCATCAAAAATGTACACGTATTTATAA